AGGGAGGGAGGGAGAGAGAGAGAGAGAGACAGAGAGAGAGAGAATTTTTAATATTTATTTTTTAGTTCTCGGTGGACACAACATCTTTGTATGTGGTGCTGAGGATCGAACCCGGGCCGCACGCATGCCAGGTGAGCGCGCTACCGCTTGAGCCACATCCCCAGCCCCAGGATTATTATTCTTTTAATTTTTTTACATTCAATAGATTAATTATTGTTTGTATTTTTAAAATTTCTACTATAATTGCAAACTCTTATTGCTTTTGATCAAAAAGAGTTAGATTTTCCATCGTGTTTGAATAACATGAAAAAATGTAAACATTCCACAGACTAGCTCTTAAAATAAAAAATACATATTGCTTTTACATACAAGAGTGGCTTGTTATCTTCAGGATCATCATCTTCAACTTCCAAAAGCCAGCCATACCCTCTTTGCCTCAGAAATGTAGTAGCTGTAGATTCTTTGATAAAATCTCCACCGAGGTTTAATTTGACATCTGGGGATGCTATGGAACCACTGAGATCTTAGGAGAAAAGAGGACAAATTATAAACCAAGGCAAAATATGTGAATCTTTTTTTGTTGGGCAGGGGATGGAACCAGGAATTGAACTCAGAGGCACTCGTTCACTGACTCACATCCAGGTTATTTTATTTATACTACTTTGCTGACGGTTTTAGTTGTTTTACTATTTAATATTGTTGGTACATGCTTTCCTTTTTCTTTTCTGGTACTAGGGAATTGAACCCAGTGATGCTTTACCATTGAGTTACATCCCCACCCCTTTTTATTTTGAGACAAGTTCTCACTAATTGTTTTTTGAGTCTCACTAAATTGCTAATGCTGGCTTCAGAGTTACAATCGTCCTCCCTTAGCCTCCCAAGTCATTGGAATTATAGGTATGCATCACTGTGCCTGGCTGTTGATGCAATTCCATATTGTAAGTAATATTAAAGTCAACTAAATTAAATCTCCTAAGACTATATAGAAAGATTAAATCTCATTTTAGCATAAACTAGTTAATAGAAATTTGATTGCTGTCTGATTTCTTTTCCAGTTTGAAAAATTATACATTCATAAGAATTTGCCAAGACAATACAAAGAGGTCATCTGTACCCTTCATCAATTTACCCTAATGGTACCATCTCATGGAACTATCAAATTACCCTAATTTTTTTTTTTTTTTTGGGTACTGAGGTTGAACCCAGGGTACTCAACCACTGAGCCACATCCCCAACCCTTTTTTTATATTTTGTTTAGAGACAGGGTCTCACTGATTTGTAAGTGCCTCACTAAATTGCTGAGGCTGGTTTTGAAATCCAAATCTCCTGCCTCAGCCTCCCTAAACACTGGAATTATAGGCATGCACCACCCCGCACGGCTCAAATTACCCTAATTTGATAGAACATTGACATTGGTACCATCCAAAGATCTTATTCAGTTTTTGCCAGTTTTTATATGCACTCATTATGTGTATGTGTAGTTTTGTGCAATTTTATCATATTTGTATATTTATGTACTACTTTGTTTTAAAACTTATAAAAAACAGAAATTGATTACTTTTTTTAAAAAAGTAAACCTGGCGGGCTGGGGATGTGGCTCAAGCGGTAACGCGCTTGCCTGGCCTGTGCAGGGCGCTGGGTTCGATCCTCAGCACCACATAAAAATAAAGATGTTGTGTCCACCAAAAACTGAAAAATAAATATTAAAAAAATTTTCTCTCTTAAAAAAAAGAATATTAAAAAAAGTAAACCTGGCATAACTACTCCCTCCACAAGGAAAGGCTTACTAGATAATTTTGTTTTCAAATAGGAAAAAAAGCTGTTCTTGGATTTATTATGTATATCATATTTCACACTTAGCATATCATGGAGAACATATTTGTGATAAAACCGGATGTATTTTTTTTTTAAAGCAGGAAACTTCTTAAAAGAGAAACTGAAGATTGCTCATTCTACACTAGTAATCTGTATTAGAATTGATGTCCTTGGGCTGGGGATATGGCTCAAGTGGTAGCGTGCTTGCCTGGCATGCGCGGGGCGCTGAGTTCCATCCTCAGCACCACATTAAAAAAAAAAAAAAAAAAAAAAAAAGATGCTATGTCCACCGAAAACTAAAAAAAATAATAATAATATTTAAAAATTCTCTCTCCCCCCCCCCCAAAAAAAGAATTGATATCCTTTCTGGGGAGGAACTTCAAACAAAGAGTATGAAGTAAATGGCTACATAACAGATCAACAGAAAATTACTGTTTGCTTAAGAGTATTGATAATAACTATTGAATTAGCATGTCTACAAGTTACTGATTACACTAACACACTGTGAGCTGTAGACATTATCATTCTTAAATAGGGGTAATGAGGCACAGTTGAGCTCAAAATGCAAAGTACTGAGGAGTCCTCTTCTCTAGATTTATACAGCCAATTGTCAACATTTCCTTGTAGCTACCTCAAAGTCATATAAAATTCAATATTCATAAAATGAGATCTCTCAAATCTTTTTCCACTTTAATTTAGCGAATGGTAATACTACTACTGTCTATCCAGCATTGTAAGCTAGAAGCTTGAGTATCCTTGATAATTTCCCTTTTTTTTGCATACTCCCAATGTAGACTATGTTTTACCTCTAAATATTTTTTGAAATGGTCCACTCTTCTCCATTTCCACTACCAGCAACAACCTAGTACAAATTGTTAACTCCTTCGTGCATTATAACGGTATAGGCCTGTTCTCTCTCCCTAGTCAATCTTGTTTCCTTCCTATCCAATCTTTTTTGTGGTACTTTAAGAATTGAAACTAGGGTTTTGCACATGCTAGGCAAATGCTCAACCACTATCCTACATCCCCAACCCTTTTCTTTTTCTGTCCTTGAGACAGGGCCTTGCTGAGTTGCCCAGATGGGCCTTGAACTTGTAATCCTTCTGCCTCAACCTTCTAATTCACTCAGATTACAGATGTATGCCACCACACCCAGGCCAATCCACTCTTTACTATACTATACTAGGAAGTCTGTTTTTGAAGTGGAATTTTCATTCTTCTATTTAAAATCTTTCAGTAGCCTTCCACTGCTTTTCTGAATCAATCATCTACTTTTCAAGACCCATTTTCTGTTCCCTTTCCCACTCAGGTCCTATGCTGTATCACACTAGGACTCAATCCTTCAAATGATCATGGATCCCTTTTGCCTTAGGGATTTTGGAACAGGCAATTTCTTCTAATCTCAGATAATTAAACTGTCACTCATTCCTCGGTTCTCAGATATACATGATTAAGGAATTTGTCCTTGGTCTACAGGGGTTCTTTTCAGTTCCCCCTACTTTTCCTTTATAGCATTATCACTGTTTATAATTACATACTTATGTGATTATTTCATTAATGTGTACAAACTTCATGAAAGGAGAGACCATACAGAGATTTATGTTATCTTGTTTCTCTCTCTCTCTCTCTCTATATATATATATATCAAATATTTACAATAGTGCCTGGCCCAAAGCAGGCAACAAATAACTATGTATGCTGGTTGAATAAATTATTATTATTTTTAAAAATTTTAGTTGTAGATGAACACAATAGTTTTATTTTATTTATTTTATGTGGGGCTGAGGTTCAAACCCAGTACCTCACATGTGCTAAGCAAGTACTCTACCACCAAGCTAAACCCCAGCCCCAAATAAATTGCTAAAATATTATTGATTCACTTTAGTTATACATGACAGTAGAGTCCATTATGGCACAATTATATAAGCAGGAATATATCTTTTAAAAAATTTTTTAGAGAATTTTAATATTTATTTTTTTTTTTAGTTTTCGGCGGACACAACATCTTTGTTTGTATTTGGTGCTGAGGATCTAACCTGGGCTGCACACATGGCAGGCGAGCGCGCTACCACTTGAGCCACATCCCCAGCCCAGGAATATATCTTATTCTAATTATGACCCCAGTTTTGTGGATGTACACAATGATTTGAATGAATCAATTAATGGAAGCATAAACAGCTCCAAAGAGCTAAAATCAAGAAATGACATTAAAGGCTTTTAATGAAGCCAACAAATAAAATTAGAGTTGTATTTTGGAAACATCCTCTTAGTTACGCTATGGAGCACTGATTTAAGAGGGGAGAGAATGGTCAGGAAGCTAGAGAAAAGTCTACAAATGATAAGATGGAAGACTTGAAGTAAGGCAATATTAGTAGAGAGAGAAAAATAGATGAATTAGTTATTCTGGAGCTGTTCTGTAATCATTTTATGACCAATGAAATATAAGAAAGTGAGGGAAAGAAGCTAAGTGTGGTGGTGCACACCTGTAATCCCAGTAACTCAGGAGACTGAGGCAAGTTCAAGGCCAGCCTCAGCAACTTTGTGAGGCCCAGCAGCTTAGTGAGCCCCTGTCTCTAAATAAATAAATAAATAAATAAATAAATAAATAAATAAATAAATAAAAGGGCTAGGGACATGGCTCAATGGTTAAACACCCCTGGGTTCAATCCCTGGTACAAAAAAAAAAAAAAGACTAAAGACAAATTCCTGGCCTTTGGCAAGAGGACCTACCATCACAAACGTTAAGTTGTTTCTACTTTAGTACCTTCCTCATTTTTTAAATTTATTTTTTAGCTGTAGTTGGACACAATACCTTTATTTCACTTATTTATTTTTATGTGGTGCTGAGGTTAGAACCCAGGATCTTGCATGTGCAAGGTGAGCGCTCTACCACTGAGCCACAACCCCAGCCTGCCTTTCTCATTTTTAACATCGATGAATCAACCTATCAACACCTTGAGAGTATTACAAAACAGTGAGATACTTGGAGGAGTTTAAAATCTAGTTGATAGTATATCCAAATAATAAAATATTATTCAGCCACAGAAGTAGGTTACTCATTCATGCTGCAACATAGATGAATCTTTTTTTTAGATGTTGATGGACCTTTATTTTATTTTGTTTATTTATTTATATGTCATGCTGAGAATCGAACCAGGTACCTCACACATGCTAGGCAAGCGCTCTACCACTGAGCCACAACCCCAGCCCAACATAGATGAATCTTAAAAACATTAACTAAACAAAATAAGACAGACACAAACGGCCATATATTATATTATTTCATTTATATGAAATTTCTAGAGCAGAACCACAAAGACAGAAGGTAGATTAGTAGATATCAGGTACTGGGAGGAAGGAGAAATAGGAAGTTACAAATAGGGTAATGAAAATTTTCTAGAATTAGGGCTGGGGTTGTAGCTCAGTGGTAGAGCGCTTGCCTAGCATATGTGAGGCGCTGGGTTCAATTTTCAGTACCACATAAATAAATAAAGGTCTACCAATAACTAAAAAAAATATTTTAAAAAACATTCTAGAATTAGATAATGATGATAGTTATACAACTCTGTAAATAACTAATAGCCATAGATTTGCATGCTTTATTTTTATTTTTTATAACATAATATTTTTATTTATTTTTAATGTGTTGCTGAGGATCAAATTCAGTGCCTTGTGCATGCTAGGCAAGCTATCTACCACTGAGCCATA